TAGTAAAATGTCATTTTACTCTTGATTATTTTATTTTATTATTTTATTCCCCTTACCGCCTTGAATTTCAAATCGATTATATATCGAACTGTGTTTTCCTTTACTGTGTGAAAATAATGAGGTCATACTCATGTCACAATACTTTGAAGCTGATGCCATGAGACTGCGAACCTGAGGCCACGATGATGCCACAAAATAGGCGAGGCGAGCACAGCTTCAATTTTCAATGACGCGAAGCTGATGCCACAATGATACGATGCTGGGGCGACAATGAAGCCACAAAGGCCAAAGCTTTCGCGAGAACTGTACTGTATGCTGGTTTACTAAACGCTTGCGTATGGAAAATGGTTAACAATCTTGTCTGCTAGCAATCTCCTGCTTTATGGTCCCGTTGGTGGCGCCATTTCGGCAACACTCGTAATGCCGAAAAAACTCGAAGGTGACGGGAGAGGGGGGCGTGGCCCGGTTTTGGAATATCATTGACTGTTTACCCAATTTATATACCATTTTCACTTGATTTTTTTTCATAATGTTGTTTATAATTATTTTTTGCACACAAAAAAGTCAATTGGCCCAATTCAGTTACACTTTAACTATGTTGTTATTTGGGCAAATGATATGATGTCAAACTAATTAGAGTAAATCTATTAGAGTTAAATCAATTAACAGTACGCCATAAAATTAACAATAGCAACCTATTTTAAATATTATAATTTTTATTTAGTAAAAGAAGAGGACGAAGAGCTAGAGGCTAAAGAGGAAGACGGTGTAGAGACTGTAGTTGATGATGATGGAGAAAAAGAAGTAGATGACGCAAAGGCAAATGCAGAAGGTGTTCTGAAAGAAGAGAAACATAGTGAAGAAGGGCACAAGGAAAGGAAATCAAAAGATTCTGAAGAAGCAGGGATAGAAGATACTAGTACATTGACGAAAGATACGGATGGTGAAAAGACGGAAAAGGCTTATGAAATAGGCACAGAAGAATCAGTAAATGTGGAAGAAGAAAAGAAAGAGACGAACACTGAGGATGATGAATTAATGGCTCTCCTCGGTGGAGGAAAAGATGAAGTAGAACAAACTGAGGAGGTAGATGAAACAACAGACAAAAAGAGTGAGGATCGGGTAGATGAAGCTAATGTAAACACTGTAGCTGAAGATGATGGAGAAAAATATGAGAAAAACGCTGAAGAAATGAAAGCACAAGATGCAGAAGTAGCAGATACAGATGAAGCCAGGACGAAAAATGATGAACCTGAATCTGAAAAAGTGGAAGAAGAAAAGAAAGAGGAGAAAACTGAGAAGGATGATTCAATGGCCGTCCCTGGAGGAGAAGAGGGAGAATCAGAAGAGGTAGAAGAACAGGCTGAAAGTAATGTAGATACTGCTGTCGAAAAAGAAGGAGAAGATGAGGAAAATGTGGAAAGAGATGAACAATGTGTTGAGGAAAAGGAAGATGCAGACACAGGGGATACAGTAAAAACTAACATGAACATTGATGACAGTGAGCAGAAAGGAAAGAAAGAGGATGATGATGCATAGAAGAATCAGATAAATTGTAAGAGGAGAAGACAGATGATTGAATAGCTCTCCCTTGGGGTGATAATAAAAGACAGCGAAAAAAGTAGAAGAAATTCATAAAAATAAATTTTCAATCCATTGTTTTTGTAATGGTCTGTTCAGGTCAGACGGTGTTGCAACTCTGATGAAAATATAATTCAGTGAATGAATGTGATAAATAACATGTCTGTATTGTTGCAATAATGCCTGTCGTCTGGCGCCGTCAGGGGCGTGATAACTCCAATAATATTCAGCCGCTATCATACTTAAATATATAGTTAATCTGTAGATATAGCTGGCCTATATAGATTTCAAATTTGTTTTTACAAAAAAGTGTATATAGTGTCTGTAGGGG